GGGACGCTGGGGGAAGCCTCCCGCAGAGGTGCTGTTGCCTCGCTGACGCCTAAAAACGCAGTTTAGTGCTTGAGGCCTGTAGCTGATCTTGGGCTTCAGGCGAGCCCAAACTCGTCCCGGACAGTTGTGAGGAGTTACACTCAGCTCAGGCAAACGCCTTAAGGGTTATGTGAGAGGACAGAAGTCCTGGTAGTAACTCTCTGTTGTCGTGCCTCTTTTCGGGCAACACCTGGTCACTAGATCCCAGCTTGGACCTGTTGCGGGACAACCCTTGCCTGACAGAGTTCATCACCTCCGTGCTGGCACTGCCAGAGCCCAGCCCAAACATCCTCTCCTTCACTCTGCAGTTAGCTGGGATACTTGCCTCTTCTAAAAACCGTTTTCAGCACTTGCAGGTGAGTCGGCTACCTTCTGCTGCGTGTCTGTTTACTCCTTTTATGTAAAGGAGACCTGAAAATGTGCGTATTCCGCTTATAAGATTTCTAGCATACATCGAACAACTTGGCAAACAGCGATATGATAGTGAAAACCCACAATCACAGAGTTCTGTTTCAGTTCTCATGCGAAGCTGCAGTCTTCTTGCTTCTGTCCTGCCATAGTAGTACTATAAATGGTAATACATAGTGCTTCTCATTTTCAGTTCAAAAAGTTTATAGGGTAACACTGTCTCACAGCAGACATCACAAAATACTGTATCACTGGACAGATCCTGTAGATTTAAACTGCATGAACAGATAGTTTTCCCTCCATAGTAGGCTGACAAGAAATCTGCGATTCGTTGCAAAAATGACGGAGCTTTTTAAAACCCTGCTTTCAACAACAGAATACATTTGTAGTGAAAAAACTCAAAACTCAAAAGGTGTTCTTTGTGAAAGAGGTGCATACAACTGCATAAAGCAGTCTACTGGAACTGATACATATACATAAGTTGTTCCTAGCATCTTAAAAAGGAGCAGTTTGGGTTTTGAACACCTCTGCTGTGTAGTCCATGAAAGCCATGTATGTTGAGGTTAAGTATGTGGAGTTTTAGTGATACTTCTAGCAAGAGAAGGTTTCACTGCGGTATTGATGCTCTTGACTTGGATGACTGAGCAGCCCCTCCGTTCCCCTCAAGGCCCTTTGCTTACTCTGTGTGTCTCCTCTGGCCTCAGCAGGAGAAGCTGTTGGTCAGGCTCTTTGGCAGGGATGGGCCCCTGAGCAGCGCCCTGTGGGAAGATGCGTCTGTGCGACGTGGCTGGGTGAAGGGCATGCACAACATGATGAAACACCAGCCTGCCCTCCACTTCCTCTGCAGTGGTGGTGAGTGCTTCTAGGACTGGTAACTCCCCAAATCCTCTGTGGCTCTTCCATTCCAGTCTGTTGCTTAGATGTCAAATGGGAGAGATGGGAGTTTTCATTTAAGCCACTTGTCAAAAACACTGAAGTAATTGGAAAATGGTGTGGTTTTTGTTAAATTACTTACACATTTGATTTCTTTTTTTATTACTATTATTTTTCCAAACACTGAAAATGGTGCCCTTTCTTGAGGAGAAAGAGGCACATCATATGAAGGACGTGATAACGACAGCTTATTAAAAGCCTTCCGTATTCTTATTTGTAATTCTTTTTAAAAGGTAGATTTCAGCACCCCACCAGCGTCATTTAATTCTGTGTGATACCCTAATTCAAATAACATATGGCTGGAGCTCACAAGACTCCACCTCATGATAAGAAGGCTATTTTTACCTCCAGTGACTTGTTTTGTTTTCACACAGGAGGCATGGATGTGATCTTCATTCTGCAAGGGGATCCCAGCCTGTTCGTGGCTTCAGCTGCCATTGAACTTCTGGCGGATGTTCTCGCCCTCTCTGTACGGTCTGAAATGACTAAACCTCTCAGTACAAAGGACTGTGAATGGCCAGCCTGTGCTCAAATGATTCTAAAGCATGTTGAAGATTCCCTTCAGTCCACCTCTGCCTCTCGCATCGAGCAGTCATTAAAACTGTTAACTACGATTTTTCGCGGTTATCACACTAAGTGGACTGAAGTACTTCGGTTAGGGATAGCAAATCAGATCGAATCCCTTTTGACGAAAGAGACTGTTGAAGCACGGCACCTGCTGGCAAATCTTCTGTGTGAAATGGCATGGTAAAGATCTTCTGGGGCCTTGAATCCCCTGATGAGATATATATCTGTTTTCCTCTGTCTAATAGGACATACAATTTATACTTTTTTTCTTCTCAGGTCCCCTGTGTTTGGTGGCACTGAAGGCAGTATTGGGGCATTAGTGACTTTTGCTCTGGAACACTTAACTCCGTTACAAGTCGGTCCTTTGGCAGTGAAAATTCTGATGATCTGCGAATGGTAAGACTTGTTGCAAGGAGATTTTTGCGCTCTGCAAATGTTTCTTTACTGATATTTCTGGTGTCTTTCCAAGAACTACTTTTTCCTCACTGCATTTTCCACTACATTCCTTCATATGTAAGATTGGTTGGCAAGAACCATACCAGACTTCAGACAAGAACCGTACTTCAGACACTGATAGTAAGAAGAATCTAGTTTCAAAGGGAGAGGAGTGAAAAGAGCCAGTATCACGTATATGTGCATACATATGTGTCTTGTCTACAGCCAGCCAATTTCAGGAAGAAATAGCAAAGTCATTTAACTTGATACTGCCAAAGTTGACTATACTGGACACAGTTTAACTCCCTGTCAAATCCAGTAATCTATTCGGTTTTCTTTTTCACCAAAACACTGACTAGTGTAAGAGCTTTCCCTGCTGTCAGAGGTGTGCATCTGGAGATTCTGTTGACAGTTGTAGAGTAACTTAGGTTAGAAGGAAGTGATCTAATTCACCCTCTTTGCCAGTGCAGGGCTAGCGTCAGAGATAGATCAGGTTGCTCAGGTCTTTCACCATCCAAGCTTCAAATATCCCCAAGGATGCGAATTCCCCAGCTGCTCCACTGATTAAAAACTTTCATTTCACTATGGAAATTATTTTCCATTTCACTAATGAAAGTTGGAATCTATCCTCTTACAATTTAAGATTCTTTTCTTGTGCACCTCGGAGAAGTCTGCCTGCATCATCTCTGTAACTCCCCTTTAGGTAGTGAAAAAGCATCAAGAAATCATCAGGTGAATGCATACAGATACTGTTTTACAGGTCTTAAGATATAAGGATCCCATTTTGTTGACAAGAAGTGTCTCTCTGTAAACTCCCTTCTTACACAGAATCCTATTCTGTTTGCATAGCTTTGATAAGGCTGCTTCTAAATTCCAGAGCCATTTCTCCTCTGCTTTCGGTTAGCCAGGGAAACTTGCAAGAAGGTTTAAATTGTGATAAAAATTTCATTGCTCTGTCATTGCTGGCTTGTTTAAAAGCCTGCATGAGAAACATTATTCTGCTCAGCAACTGGGGGCAGGTATTTGGGAAAAAATTGAAGTGTTCTTGTTTCGGTAACTGCTGTTTCCTCCTTGAAGCCCCCAAGAAGTGAGGATTCAGGCACTGACTGTTCTACTTCAGCCAATGGACTGTATTTTGAGAGCAGCCTCCCAGCCCCTGGAATACACAGGTACAGTTACGATAGAAAAGTTGGAGGCTAGTCTGCTTGCCAGGTTATCAGTCTCTGGTGCAGACAAAACTGGAAGCGGAAGAGTAGAAGAAGTTAAGGACAGTAGCAGTGTTTGTGGTAAAGTGCAGCATCCTACTGACGGTTGCACTTGAAGGCATGTTCATGCTACATCACCTGAATGTCTTGATTAACTTTAAAATTCACTGTCTTTTTTATTCATTACCAACCAGAGCTCTTCCCTCCTTTGGCCCTCTAGGTTTGCTGGATGAGTCTGTTAGTGATCCCACCACTGTTGAACGTCTTCTGTCCTCCAAGTCATCTTGTGTTAGTCTCCTGTGTCAGAACCTCGATGATTTGCAGAGCCTGCTGTCTGAGGTAACACTCAGAGAAGGAAAAAAAGCCTGGGGATCAAACTGGCCCTTGAAAGACAGCGTTAAGATAAATTGTAAACTTTTGCAGCAGAGCTTAACAGAACACGGAGAAGAGTTGACAGTGAGGGCTTTCACATGTTAAAGAAATCTAGAACAGTAGACTCCAAAGAGGGAAAACAGAGGAATAATGAGGTTTGTCAAGAGGGACTTCACTTAGTTTTAAATCTGTCTTCACAAGCTTTGTTACCATACCTTACTTCTACTGAAGTTATTCAGTGACAAAACATAAATTCAACTGTTTTTCCCGTTTTCTCCTTCCATTTGTGCAATAGTTCTTTTGAGAGAGGAAGATAATTTGTAGTCATTAGCATTGGGCTACCTTAAGAACACACTAGAAATTGCAATTTTTGCTGTTTCCTGACCAAATCCTCCTGCTGTGTATGTATGCCGAAGACTTTTGCTGGAAACATCTTTTTTTTTTTTTTCTCTCCTTTTTTTTTTTTCATTCTCCCTTACCATTAGACTGACCGGAGAGTGGATTTACCCTATACAGCTCTGCTGCGCTCCCTCGTAACAATATTACAATTCTGTAATGGCTTACTGAGTCCAGCTTCTCCTCTGGGAAGCACGATAAGCCAAATCCTGATCAATTGCGTCAGAGTACAGCGTTCAGCTCTTGATGTGCTAGCAGCACTCTTGGAGCAAAAAGGTGAGTTGATGTTTGCGCTTCAAATTTTTTTCGTTTTGGAAATATTCAACTATTGTGTAGTTGCAGAGTTTTTTTGTTCCCCTTCACCGATCTTACTGAAGGAAGAAGACTGCCACTTCCACTTTTCTGAAACTTTCATTTTTCCAGTTCTTCTTACGGTCTTGGCTGACCTTATTTTCTGTTGATGAGTCAGGGCAGGTAATGTTGTAACTGAAAAGGTTTTAGTGGTTGTAAGAAATTGGATGTTCCTTTTGAAATCTGAGAACTGCATTTGCTTTCTTCTCCAAAACAGTTTTACAATCCTGTGTCTTCCTGTACTTCAGTTGAATTGTGATTCAGCTGCTCATTCTCTCAGTATTGGTCCTTCAGTTTTGTTTTCCATGTTTCAGACTGTGACACACTCATAGCAGGTCTATTTGATGTCCTTCTGGCATACCTTGAGAGTCCGAACACCAGCCCTACTGTAAGTATAGAACCCAAGTCTATTTGCTTGCCCCAGCGGGATGCAATTCTGAGAAATTGTCTGAAAATAGTTGTTTCTTAGCATGGTTCCTGTTAGAATATGTAGGAGACATGTCTTGGTTCTGGGTAGCTTGCAGGAAACAGCTAAAATTCTAGAGAGCAAGTAACTGGCCAATACATTGAGTGTTCTTGAAAAGACAGGAACCATCATGTCTAAGAGTAGCACCAACATACTCAACTTGACATGGTCCTGAAGTATTAAATTCTTTGCATTAAGGGGTTTTATTTTCTTGCTTTGTTTTGTCTGAATGAGTCTGATGACAACTGCAAATCAAAAGCTAGAGGTGCTAGAACTTTATCATACTAAGGTGAGAATAGGCATTTCCTAGGTGTGTGTTAGAAATGCTACATAAGCACAAATTATTTATGGGGTACTTTTTAGTAAGGAAGCATGTGTACTTGTTTACTCTGTGAATTTCTGTGTAAGTTTGGAATTAAGACAAATTCTAGCTAGCATAAAGGCAACAATGCCGCCTCCTATAGCAAAGGAAATCTGCTTTATATTGCTTCAGGTTCTAAAGAAAACATTTAAAGCTACATCTGAGGCCTTGGTGCGCTTGCAAGCCCTGTCCTGCTCCAACAGTCAGCATCAACAAAATGAGAAGATTTTGGAAGGTAGGAAAGCTATCCAGGTTGGGAGAAACGGCAGCTGGTGGCATATATGAAATCTGCACTCACCCACCTTTCATGCTCAAAGCACTCAAGATTCATTTGTTTGCATTTATGCTGAATTTAGGTTTAGCTACCCAAATAGTGTTTTGAAGAACTCTGGGAGAAGTACACAACAGCAGCAAAAGGAGTAGAGGTTGTACAGTGATTGCTTCAGTGAGGCGTGTTGCCTTCATTTAATTTGTCACCTGGCTTTTACAGGAATCTTTCTGGTGCTGCAGAAGCGTTTGTGCAGTCCCTGCTGGGAAGTACGAGATTCTTCTCTGGAGTTCCTCACTGTCCTGGTTAGATGCTTGAAAGGTGGGTACAGAGATTTAACAGCTCATCTTGGAGGAGCATTTCTTTTAATGTTAGGAAAGTCAGTCAGGCTTGTGAAGCATCCTGCAGCCTCTCTCAGTGCTGCAGTTGCATTCTTTTTCTTTCCCATCTGCCTTGACGACAAGAAAGGAAGACTATTTCTTTCCTCCCTTAAACAAAGGCATAAGTTTGATGAGGCTGAAACCATGACCCCGCTTGACAGAGAAAGCTTTTTTTCCTTGCTGCTAGAACAACTGTAAATGGATTTTCCCAAGTTCCAGTGTCTGGCATGGCTTGACTGAAAGTCACCAAGCTGCTGGAAACTGGGGAGCCTGACACAGAGGGGCTGCGCTCTTGTGAGCAGCCGCCTGGTCTCTAGTGGCTCAGCTCACTGGCAGCTGTCCCTGCAGTCAGTGGGCATCCTTGCGTGACGCAAAGAACTGTTTGCATTGGAAACAGCTTCACACTGAGAGAATAAAGCCTCGCTTCTTCGGGTTGCTGTCTTGTTTACAGAGGAGTTCAGGCAGAGTCTGCTGTCTTCAGAGGTGCTGAAGCTTACAGAAAATCTTCTCGAGGATCCAGACAGCTACGTGCGAGCAAGTGCTGTGAATACTGTGGGATACTTGGCCTTCATTACTTTCTTAGATCCAGAGTCACCTGCTGCAGGGAATCAGTACAATAAAGAGGTACGGCAACTTTGTGTAGCCCACTGCAGAATCAAGCAGAACATACATCCATTTACTGCTGTACTACTTAGAACTTTTTTTCACAGGTCACCTGCAGTCTCATTCAGGCAGATTTCACAACTAGTAATGAAAAGACTAGATTTTTTTTTTAACTTCTGCTGGTTTTGTTTCTTTGCATATTTATCCCCTCATTGTGCTTTCTCTTTGTCTTTTTACATTTAGAACACTATAGCAAAGCTTCAAGAAATCTTGTCAACAGACCCAGAGGGCTTTCCTAGGAGGGCTGTGATCAGCATCTTCACTGAGTGGCTGAGACAAGGCTGCACAGGTCAGCTCGAAGATGCAGTACAATTTGTTTCTACTGTGATCCAAACTGTGGAGCATGATTTCGACTGGGAAGTCAGACTTGGTGGTTTGGAACTGGTTCAAGCTTTCTATAGTCATATGCGTCGCCACCTTGGCCCTCCTGAATGCCCAGAGCCTGCAGTCATTTATTCTGTTCAGCAGAATGAGCTGCTGCAGATACTTTGTCAAGCAAAAGTGTTCAAATTTTTGTTTCGGTCTTTGTGTGACTGTGACAAACCACTAGCTCAGAGAGCCTGTGAAATACTGCTGCACCTACAACGCACTTTCTACCCAATTTGCACCCTGAAGGAAGCAAAAGGGCCTGAAGGTATACCTGCAGGATACAACATTGCCTGGTTACAGAGGACACTAATGCAGGGTTCTCTGGCCCAGAACGCCCTCATAGATGGTGCTGAAGGGGTGCGTTTTCAAGATCCAGAGAGCATGATGGTAGTTTTGGGTACAATAGACTTAACAGAGCTGTGTGATGAGCTACGTAAATGTAGTGACCATGTGGAGAAAAGCCCTCGGTCCCTCTTAGAGGACATCCTTGCTACCGCAGGGACTATAGAGGATAATGAAGCTGACTGTTACTGAAGACATCTTTTTCTCTGAGGGAGCAGTGCTTAAGCAGTTTTCTTATGGAGGGAAATCTTTTTGCTACCAGTTATGTTGTCTTTCTTGAGAGAGGATAAAAAGAAGTGTTATGCTGAATGGACAAAGGATGGTTTCATTAGTTGTTAAATGGCTTAAAAAAAAATCTTTAGTATAATACTGATGAATTATTTTGTTAAAAAGTGTAGTCTCCAATAAACTACGTTTTGTTTTTCAAAATAAGAACAAATGCATTTCTTAATGTGTTTAAGTTCTGTCTTTTAAGAAAGCACCAGACCATGCCTACATAAGGAAATATTTTTTAAAAAAACCAGAACAGTGACTGAAAACAAGTTGCATGCTCCTTTTAGAGCCAGAGTAACTAAAACTGAAGACTGGTTTTAAGGCATACTTGTTTTGGCCTTGTCCATATCTCCATTCTAAAACCAGAATTCTCAGGTTCCCTGTAGCATTTTGAAGTCTAGAGCAGAAAGTGGCATTTATGGAGTCAAGAGCTGATCATCCTCAACAATATCAGTTTTCTTCTATAGATAACAGAATTGTTTGATCTCAGCAGTGACAGTAAAAAACTGACTTTGCTTTTAATTGAAGCCAGAAGTCCCATTTTACTGAATTTTTCAAGTGCTCCTATTCTCCGTTCCTAAAGAACTAGGATAGCTAACTAGTAAGAGAAACTCAGACCTGCAGCTTTTTCATGATAAAGTAGATCTATGCATAGCTTTTGTAAACAATTAGCAAACAGCAGCTGTAGCACAAAGGCAGCACTCTCTTCTGAGAGAAAAATGCCAAGTTTAAAAACTCAAGGGAAGACTGTATTTTGCAGTTTGCTCCAGTGGTGGGGGGGGAAGAAAAAGAGAAAAGGAGTACCTTCACCAGGATGTCAAAGCACACGATTCTTTTCCAGCACTGGGGTGATAGTTAGCATCCTCTATCCTCCTGCAGTCTCTGTAGAGGCAGAAACACAACACTCTGTTTTAGGCTGATGGAGGCTATAGCACCTACTGGAGCAGAAGAACTTCTACAAACCCCTTCTTCAGTGTTATCCCTGCAGCACTACTATAGGGTGAGATGTAGTTTCAGTTTTTTGCAGCGGAGGTTGAAGATTTACTCTCTGCCTTTTAATGAAATAAGCACACTTACGTACTGCTCTGCACAGCTTTATGACAGGGCCCTTGGGAGTTGTACCAGCAGCTGTTATTTGGAGAAAGCAGCTCTGCTCCTGATGCACAATTCTACCTCAGCAAGGTCTACACCTGGCAAAAGATGGAAGATATTAAAAAAAAAAATCAGGCCTTTTCCTGCTTCTGCATTTCTCTCAGAAAGGGAAAGGGTTAGTGAGAGAGAAAGGAATTGCTTTTAAAGTGTGGATTGAGGAGTTTTAGCAATCCTGCCTGGTGACAGGATTATAGTTCCAAAACTAGCATTTTGTGCTGCTGATAAGTCAAATATGCTCCAGGATAGGAGACAGCACCTTGCAGGGTAAACATCTTCCTCCCATTCAGCACTGGAATTTGTGTGATTTCAGGGTTGTGCAGTTCAGGAAACTCCAAGGAATTACCAAAATACCAGCAAATTGGAAAAGTGACTTGTTACAGAAGGGAAACCAGCTGCTTATTGCTGAGGTCTCTGGACTCCCAGACCTATTAATTTTTAATAGAACTAGTTTTTAATCATCTGGGCTGATGGTGGCATTTTTAAGTTTACGGCATTTGCCTAATTGCAGCCCAAAGTCTTGTTTATACACAAGATGCTTGTACGCTAAAACCCAAATATACAAACTAGGAGAGCTTGTCTTTAGAAGGGGAATTAAGGACTTCTTTCATCTTTCATTAAAAACAGGTCCCCACCTCCAGCAATTAGGTGACTCGGTGCTGATTCTGTACTTCTCTCTTTTCTCAGCTCACTGCACTGCCTTGCTTTGTTTTGTCTGCTGCTCCAGTTACAGTAGAAAGTCTTATTAACACCGAGATGCTTGCACTGACATCCCATACCTGATATCTGGGAGAAACATGAAGGGTCATGAATGTCTGAGCTGTGTTAGGAACAAATGCCAGGGACTAGAGAGGTTAAGGGAGACAAAAGCAAAAATAAAAATCCCATTATTCTTTCTGCAGAAGAGGACGGTAGTGAGATTTTTCAGCTGAAAATTTAGCTAACAAATTTGTAAACACACACTAACAGCTACTACTGGGAGTCACAACAGCATGCTGGGGTATCCCCTCTAGGATACCCAACTTTGCACACTTAACTCCTAGAAGCCCTACCCCACTTACGCTGCTAACTCATTCCCAACCCACTTCTCAACTACTAGAGCTTTTTTAGCACCTCCACGAGACCCTTATTCCAGCCACACAGCTTTCTGCTGGGTTAGGAATTGACACCGTGTGCTATGTCTTGCCGAGAAGCTGTGGTGGTGGTGCACCTAGGGGGAGGATTTAACTCTCAAGGAGACAGATTTGTTACTCCCAAGCACATGATGAGCATTCCCTTCAACAAGTGCCGTTGCTACTGAACACTTCACAACGCGGCGACAGCAGTCCCTCCGTAAACTCTACACATCCAGCTCGCTCCGGGGACTCCCAACAATGTAGAGGAGCAGGTGGGCTGCCTGGCCTTCCCTTAGGGACACGAGACAAAGTTCAAAGCTGCCTTTCTGGCATGGATTTCTGTCAGAACTGCTGCTTTCACACCATCACTGCTGTAGCTCTGTAGAGTTCCTGCAGGAGGCAGGCAACACCGAGAGAGTTTCTCCAGCCTGCGCACACACCCCCACACCAGTTTCAGCAAAGGCTGTGGCCAGACATGGGCCTTTTTTAAGAAGAAACACCAAGGCTCAGGCCTGAAACTTGCTTTGCTGTGGGCTGTGGATAGCAGGCAGTAGCAATACAACTGGTATCAACGCAGAAAATCACAGATTAGAAAAATTCATGTCTCCAGTAGCTGGTACTGTGAAAGAAGGTGGTCACAAAGCTAATTTCAGCTTTTCATCCACACAGGGGTAATATAAGTTCTGTTGCCTGATCTGTTAGAAGGTATGAAATTCCTAGAGTTGCTTTCAACGAATTTCAACAAAGCTTTGAGAAAAAGGATTTGTACTTTAACTGCTCAAATGCAAACAGACACAGGAGAAAATAAGTATCTTTGGCTCAGCCCTATGCTAGCCATGGCTTTATAAAAGCTGCCAAAAGAATGGCTGTTAATTTTCTAGTTTAATACACTGGATATTTTAAATCCAAAGAATATTCTTTGCCTAATTATACTAATCGCACAACTTAGTAAAAAAAAGGGCCAGAAATGTCTAAGGCTGTTGCTTTAGTTTAGATATATGTGATCTGTGATTACAGACCAACTGATGCATATCTTTGCAATTTCTTTTGTCCGTCTCTAGTATTTGCTCTACCTTTCACCAGATACTCATCAAGTACTTCTAAAAACCACATTAGAGAGGAAGTGCATCGCTGCAAAGTTCTCAGCAATTTACAGTGGAAAAATGTATCAGTAGCAAAAATACATCAGGCTACTACCTCTGTAGTTTGTGTCATCTCCCTTTAGAGCAGTGGTTTTTGTACTCCCCTAAGAAATAAAGCACCACTTAGCACAAGCCAGACCTCAGCCTGCATCAGGCACGCTCCTCCACAGACAGGACAGATTTTTGCCTGTAACCTTGGAAGCCGGCACACAGAGAAGGGCTTTCTTTCAAAGCGACAAGGTCTGCCTGAACAAGGTGAAACAAAGCTGGTGATGCACAGCTGTAACAAAAGCAGTCTGGGCTCTTTCAACACACATCAACACACATCATGGATACACTTTCACCTCATCCCCAGATGGAAGGGGAAAGAGCAGGCTAACTCAAGAGACTGTTTCAGTTAAAGCAAAATTAAAGTACCAAGTTTAATGCACTTATTTACTGTAAACATATAACAGGGCTATCAAGATGGCTTTCCCATGGCTGCCTCAAAAACAAATCCACGGAAACCAAGTTACTCCCCTGCAGTTGCTCAGTTCTTAAGCTCCACACAGCAGCAGGAACATGCTGTCTGGGACAGAGAGTGCATCCACTCTTCTAAGGAACATTGCCCAATTAGACCAAACCCCGTGTAAACTTTAAACAGCTCTTGTAGAGAATTAGGGATTGAAGATGTTAGGACTGCCCCTTTACACTCCTTTTCAGTGTAAGTGGGGATTACCTTCAAGAGATAAAAGCATTTTCAGATCTTTGGTTCTCCCATTTCATTATCTCTTGCTCCTCGTATTTCCAGTCTCCATTGACCCCATATTCTCTGATCAGGCTGGGTCAGTAGAAGGCAGCAGGGAGCTTGAGCCGCTGTGGGTGGGAACATCAAGGGCTGGTCCCTCACCACCACCACGTTCAGAGCTTTGGCCTCGAACCAGCTTCTGGGCTGGGCTGTGACCAGCAGGAAGGAACTACAGAGCCTGGTCTGGCAGATGGTGAATCCAGGCTGTACATCTTGAAACACGACTTGGTCCAGCCAAGCCAGCTCCCAAATAAACCCTTAATGAGTTCATCAGCCCTCGCACATGAAATTCTTCTGATTTAGCCCTTATATAGGCTGGGCAGGGGCACAGGTGAGCCCTGGTGCCCGTTGCTCTCAAAATCACACTTGATGGGACTTGATCTTGTGATTACAATTCTCATTATGTGCCAACAACAAAAAAGCTGCAGTTAAAACACAAATGGCAACGGTTGCTAAGTGACAGCATCCATACAGGCTTGTCACAGCCGTGAGACAAACAGCCGTGGCTGCACAACAATCCCATCATATCCGTGTAACTGGGGGTAAAAATGCTGTTTTCGTTACTGTTTAGTAACCTTAACTTTGACCTGTCAGTATATCTTATATTTAGGTTCTGACAAAGAGCACTGTGAAAACAAGGCTAAAGTCTCCACTGAAGCCAGAGGAAGCGAGTATGGTTCAAAATAGCTGTAATATTGCATGCTCTTTCAACATTTCTTTCTCCCA